CCCTTCTCCTCCAGGGCCACCCCTACCCCCTTCAGCAGCTCCAACCCTTGGAGGCTCTGGGGCCCCACCTCCACCCCCAATGCCACCACCCCCACTGGGCTCCCCCTTCCCAGTCATCAGTTCTTCCATGGGGTCCCCTGGTCTGCCCCCTCCAGCACCCCCAGGATTCTCCGGGCCTGTCAGCAGCCCCCAGGTGAGAGGTTGTGACCCACTTACTGCCTCTCCACTTTCATTTCCTTGTTTTCCTTGTAACCCCAGATCCTTGTGTGAACTTCCCCATGGCCCACTGACCTTCCAGTCCTCTAATCTTGGCAGGCCTGTGGTCCTTGTGAGACCCCTTGCCCTTCCTGAGGTGACTGATCTTTCAGTGCATGCTTCCTCCCAAACCCTATAGAAGAACCCCGATATTCTTGATGTCCTTTTCATCTATTAGTGATTTCCTGCCTTGTTGATCCCATCTGCTTTTCCAAGGCACACGCCCTTCAGGGCCACTGTGTTGCACAGTTTCTGGGGTGAACTGTTTAATCTTTTTGGGGTTGTGCTTCAGGGATGGCCCTTCATATAGACTACATAGTAGATACCCTTTGGAATGTGCAGTGCAGGGTCCTGCCAAGTGGTAGGGAATGATTTCCATCACTGCTGTGTGATTCTCCTTCCCAACGAGTCTTCTGTGACTTCCCTATTTCCCCCATCCCAGATTAATTCAACAGTGTCGCTCCCTGGGGGTGGGTCTGGCCCCCCTGAAGATGTGAAGCCACCAGTCTTAGGGGTCCGGGGCCTGCACTGTCCACCCCCTCCAGGTGGCCCTGGGGCTGGCAAACGGCTATGTGCAATCTGCGGAGACAGAAGTTCAGGTATGGGGCTCAGAGGATCAGCAGAGAGGAGGAAAGAGTTTGGGCCTTTTACCATCGGCTGTGGAGTTCACAGATGAAGGATGGGGTGGGGGGTGGTCAGAGGAAAAAGGGTTTCTGAACAGTAAGAGTAGGACTGGATCATCCCTCACCTCTTGGTTCCCTGTGTTTGTTTTTGGCAGACATAGGGAGGACTTAAGCTTAGTTTTGCTGGAGGGAAATTGGCAAGAGACTTAGTGGTGAAAGGGGTCTCCATGCGTCTTATTGCCCTCCCTGTAGGCAAACACTACGGAGTTTACAGCTGTGAAGGCTGCAAGGGCTTCTTCAAGCGCACCATTCGCAAGGACCTCACTTACTCTTGCCGGGACAATAAAGACTGCACTGTGGACAAGCGCCAGCGGAATCGCTGTCAATACTGCCGCTATCAGAAGTGCCTGGCCACTGGCATGAAGAGGGAGGGTAAGGACCTGCCCTTCTCAGGCTTTTTAGACTGCAGGCCCTTTCTCTTCCCTCACCTAAATGGGAGAGGAGGGAGGAGGGAGGAGGGAAGAGAAGACTGAAGGAAACCAGTCTCTATACCTCTCTGGAAGGTTGGGCTGTTCTTTCTCCTCTAGAGGGCGATATTTGATTTCTCTCTCCCTTCCTCATCATCTCTTCTCCCTGGTACCCTTCTTTGGCCCTTGATTTTCCTTCTCCGTGATGCTGCCTCAGTAGCTTGCACCTATGACTTCTCCCAGTCTACTCTAGGTTGAATGACTTTTCCTTACCTGTGACGGACTTTCCTGTTTCCCTTTCTCTAACCTGAGTAGTCCCTCTTCTCTCTGATTCCACGCACTCTCTCTGGTCTCCATCTCCTGTTGTCTGAGGTCTTTCCTCTGACTGCTGGGAGTCTACACTCTTAAGCTACAGACTTGACTGAAGACCTCAGGGCTTGCCTTCTTTCTTCTATGTTTCCATCTTATCTTTTTAAGTCTGAGTCCCAGAATTCTGAGAGAGACACTTTAGAGAGTATCTTTGTTAAATCCTTCATTTTGAAGAAGATGAGCCTGAGGCCTGGCTTTCCCAAGGTAATGTAACAAAAGAGTGGCAGGGGTGGGATCACAATCCACATTTCTGAGGACCCAGGCCCTTGCTCCTTTTACTGCCTTGTGTTGAGTCGGAAGAGCATAAGATTTGCAGTTAGGCATGCTTGGATTCAATTGTATGACCTTCCATATATTGTGTGAACTTAGGCAATCTCTTTGAGCCCCAACCTCTTTGAGCCCCAAGTTTTTCATCTTTAAACTTAGGAATGAGCTTATAGCGTCAGTGATAACTGTGTAAATGTTGAAACATGCTAGTATGTAGTATGCTCTCCATTTAAATTCCTCTCTAATTCCTTTACCCTCCTCTTCCTTTCTTCTTGACTTATTTATCTGCCCTGTTATAAATCCTGCTTACAGGCTGCCCCTAGGCCACCATTTCTGGTGACTTCCCCAGTTCCTATAGTATTTCCCAAGAGACCCTGTTAAGCCCTGAGGATATTTGCAGAACCCCTTCATGACTAGCTGCTGACTTTCCTTTTTTTTTCCTCCCCCCTTCTTGCAGCAGTACAGGAGGAGCGTCAGCGGGGAAAGGACAAGGACGGGGATGGGGAGGGGGCTGGGGGAGCCCCTGAGGAGATGCCTGTGGACAGGATCCTGGAGGCAGAGCTTGCTGTGGAGCAGAAGAGTGACCAGGGCGTTGAGGGTCCTGGGGGAACCGGGGGTAGCAGCAGCAGCGTGAGTGATGGGGTCAATTCATTCTCCTTCATGGTGGGGATGGGAGGAGGGCATCTAGGTGTGTTCTGTATCCTCTCCCACTCCCTTCCTCTCACAACCCTCCTAACACTGCTTGGGACTGGAAGTGCTGCCAACCAAGGCCTTTCAAACATCTGAGGTGGGTGTGATAGCTCCCTCATCCCCACTCCCAAAACAACCCACTGGCACAATCACAGGCAAGTCCCTAATAATCATTTACCAAAATGCTAGAAGAGAAACCTCATTTACAGAGATTGGTTTAGATGAAACTTGAAGGAAGACTCTATCTAAGACAGGGATGTCAAAAGCTTCTTACAAGGGGGCTCCCAGTGTTCCAATAAATGTTTCATAAGTTTCCTTCCCCCCATCCCCTGCAGCCAAATGACCCCGTGACTAACATCTGTCAGGCAGCTGACAAACAGCTATTCACGCTTGTTGAGTGGGCGAAGAGGATCCCACACTTTTCCTCCTTGCCTCTGGATGACCAGGTCATATTGCTGCGGGCAGGTCAGTGACCTCGGATCCCTTTGACTGCTTGACATTTGACCCCCTTTGACCTCTTGACTTTTAGTAACCCCAGAGGACTTACCTTGCATACTCAGGGAGCCAAGTTCACTGACCTTGCCACCTGTTTTCTTCTCTTCCACTGACGTGCTTTGAATCCCATGGCCTGATATCTGGCTCCTGACCATTGCTGCCCCACCCAGGCTGGAACGAGCTCCTCATTGCCTCCTTTTCCCACCGATCCATTGACGTTCGAGATGGCATCCTCCTCGCCACAGGTCTACACGTGCACCGAAACTCAGCCCATTCTGCGGGCGTGGGAGCCATCTTTGATCGGTCAGTGGCCCTCGGCTGGGCTGGCATGTAGGTAGAGGGGGCGGGGGCTATAGGCTGGTCCGTGTCCAAGGCTGGCTGAGCTGTGACCTTTGAGTGACCTGCAGGTCCCTCTCCAGGGTGCTGACAGAGCTAGTGTCCAAAATGCGTGACATGAGGATGGA